CATTGGTTCATTTTGCTGTGATGCAATCTAAATAGCAGCTGCCAAACGAGCAGACTGTTTTAACCGTCTATATAGTGGTAGAAAACTTGCCGCACCAACAGATACAATTTCTTAAAACAGCCGAGTTTATTTTATTTTGGCGTAAAATTGTCAATGCGAATGTCATGGGACTGGATATTCTATACACAATGATCACCACCACCTTCCAACATAAAATGTCGACCAATCCTTCAATTTTCTTAAAACACTTGCAAAAGTGGGGTCATGGTGCCTAGTGTGTTGAGGAACGTGGTGCAAATTTATTGAATGGGCACAAAAAACAATCAGTAGAAAACTCAGTGCAAACCACATAAAGACTACTGACATTAGGCAAATATGGGTTCAAAAGTTGAAACAATAAATACCTCATACAAGGGCTTTATGGCAAATAAAACCTTGACTTCCTTAAGTTCATTCATATAGCAAATCCATATAAAACTAGCATACGTAGTTAGTATGACAAATTTTACGAATAATAGGATGCCAGAAACATATAAGCTACCCAATAAATCAAACGAGAGAAGACTATTTTTTCATCCAAAAATTAGGTTTGGGCGCCTGAGTTCTGATTTAGGTTTATGGGCTGTACATAAATAAACTATATTCTCTTTTAAAATTCTCACTCTAACGTCATCTAAACATTTGCCTCCAGTAAAGTTTCGACACGCATCAGCAGAAAGCAATTCCGCAAAAACAGTAATACAAATACGAATAATTAAAGAAGCGAACCGATTAAACATGGCGGAACAAGAGGAGCGAACGTCAGGAGTTCAGCCAGAGACTGAGCAACAGCCGGACGATGCTGACTCAAGCAAGTAAGTAGAATATCTCACGTTCAGGCGAATCCAATCCAATCATCCCCTAGTAAGAGACCATGAATTTTAGAAAGCATTTCAGCACAATTGTTGATCAGTTCATTTGATGATCAGAGCTTTTCAGTCCTTAGACAGTATTGGCATCTGCCCATCAAAATAATATGGTTCTCACTATTTACGATAGAAGTTTTTTTCTATCAATCAAACCAAGATTTGATTGTGGACAGTCTAATGCGCAAATAAATTACCTCGTAGAAATTTTCTAATCCTCTTATGATCTTTAAGCTTGGTTAATATTTATAACTATTTGCCTCTGAGTAAATAAAACTTCTCAAGGTTTTGCCTTAGATTTTGTTGCACCAAAGAGGTGGAGGGCCGCCCTGTCAACATCAGCACTCTGACGCTGGCAGATGACGAGTTCTACAACATGAACCACAAGCGCAGGGGTGACTGCATCATCTTTTCTCACGACAAATATGACAGTAAAATGCACGTAAGTCAAATTTTTTATTATATTCCAATATACACGACTACCTAGGCTAGAGGATAGTTAAACAAATTTAGCCTCAATTAGTAACACTTGTACCTAAGTTTCACAAAATTAATTAAGTTTGAAAATTAACACTTTCCAACGGAATTGCAGAAAGTATCCACTTCAGTTACTGAAGATATTTTTTTATGTATTCTCACTCGTAACATGTTAAGGAACATGACGTCGAAGATTATAATAATATTTCGTGTACAACATTCAAAATCATTGACAATGAATAACTTTCAACAATTAGTTTGTGCTAAATCCGCATAACACGAGTTACATTTTTCAATCTTCGTTATCTTCCAAATTGTAGCTTGGGCAGCGTGACACTTCATCCGCCGATGCCAAACTGTGCCAGAAGACTTTCCAAAAACTCGGGTTTGAGGTTCAAATTCACAATAACCTGAAGAAAAAAGATCTTCTCGATATCCTGCAGAAAGGTCAGAGGACGAGATCGAATTTTAAAACGCACATCTATTTGGCAGATTAATCCGTAATTTTTTCCAAGATCCAGCAGGCACCTTAGCAGCATATGACATGATAAAATTTCGATCAGAAATTTCCGTCATAGCGAGCTAGCAGAAAAGCTGAATCATGTCGAGTTTTGAGAAGTGCAATCTTAAATTTCCGCAACACAGGGTGAATGTAATTAAAGTTTATCAAAAGTGTTTGATATTTATTAGAGTATCATGCTCTGGCAAGGTTAAAAAATTACAATGAATTTCAGAGACAGCTATTTAATTTCTCTGTGATCGAATTTGGCAGAGAGCGAGCGCGACCACAGCGACTGCGATGCGTTGGTCGTTGTCTTCATGAGCCACGGCGAGAACCTGAAGGGCTTGGAATATTTGTGCGCCTACGACGACAAATTCCGCACCACGAAGTTGTGGGAGCCGTTCACGGGGGACAAGTGCCCCACGCTGGCGGGGAAACCAAAGCTATTCTTCATTCAGGTGAGAGAAACACCTTGAAAAAAAGTTCTTGTCTGCGTACAGTTTGGTTTCAAATCCCTCCGGTTCCTGACGTCTTTTAAACATGAATTATTTTGAGAAGAAATCAATGTTATTCTTAACTGCTCTGAAGATTTATCCAGTAATAGCCACCATTCTATACCGGGACCGGCATTCAATTTCCAAACATTGAAAATTAAATTTTAACTTTTTTGTAATATAATGTTCCTTCGAAAAAAATAATAAAATAATACAAATTAATGTTTTCCTGGTTATAAATAGTGAAATGTTCTTCTTGCCCGCAGGCTTGTCGCGGCGACAAGATAGACAAAGGCGTCGGGCTGCGCGTGACTACCGACAGCATCGCGTTCACGGCGGAGGAATACGTAGTGCCTGCGCACGCCGACCTCCTCGTCATGTGGGGGTCCTTCGAAGGCAAGGATAAATACACTGGGTCCTATGATGGTTAAAATAAAAAAAACACTGGGTCCTTCGAAGGTCAGGATAAAATGCACGGAGTCGCTTGCTCGAAGGTGAGGATTGAATGCTCTGGATCCTTCTAAGGTGGCGGCATATGCGCTCTATGTTTACCCATAAAAATCGACCAGCAAAAACATTGCGCTTATTTTTAGGTCAGAAAAAAGTGCTGAGGTGTCGCTTACGGTAATTGAAAACACTTGATTATCTCAACGCTAATGGATGAGCATTTATTATATTCATGTTTAACATTTAATTAGCTAATAAAAAGTATCTGTAGGTCTTTAATCACTATCGCTGCTCTGATTCAAAAGCATATTAGCAGGACAATATAAGAGTGAAGAAGGTCATGCTGTTGCGGGAGATCAACAACATATCTTAGCTATCGCCGCCTATTTCGGTCTTGATAGTGAGGAAACTGAAGAAATTAGGTAAAGTAAAAAAAAGGAAATTCTAAAAACTGGTTCTTGAATTTTTATTACACAAGTTCCCACCCTTGCGTGGTAATAAAACCCAGTGAAACTAGAATAACCCAAATATATAACAATCCATATACCCTATCTACTCTACAATGCACATTATAACTAAGAACCTTCCCAAAACTACAAAGAACCACCCTGATAAGGATTCGGGCCCCACACATCCAAATAAAAACAGCCTAATTAATCAAACTAACGAATTGCGGCCGTAACCGCTGTGACACGCTTGGAGCCTCCAAACTCGCTGATGGATGCTGAGACTCAGCTCACTTGTATGCCTCCTCGGAATTTATAAAACTCGCGGTTTATGGGCACCGGGTTCAATTAACCAGGGTTTTATTTCCTGCCGCCGATGATTGGTGGCAAATCAATGACAAGCAGATCGCTTCATTGGCGTCTGAACTCTCCAAAAGATGTAGCTCATTCAGGTAAGGTTCTTAGGTGCAGTACTCCACAGGCGCTGCCGGTCAACAAAAGTATAAAGCGCCGCTGGTATCGGTTATCTTCCCCGCTGTGCGTCAACAATTGCTTCACCAGAAGATGGATACCAAGTTCAGTAGTACCCACACCACCTGTAATAATTCAATACACGAAATGAGCAAAACTCACTAAGACAAGCTAAACACGATTAAAGAATAGGTTCAGGCATTTTCGGTTAACCAATTCGAACACGACTGATGCACACGAACACTATAGGCATCCGAAACCATAGGCAGCGTAAAGGGAGACTCACAGTCCATAGCCTTACCCACCACTCAAAACCGGAAACACCAACTCTGACGACGACAGAACGGGACAACCACTCTGCTACGCGGTCCGGTTACAAAAGAAAAACCCGTACTAAATCCGACCCAGTCCGCAAGTAATCAGCGGATCACTGGTTTACAAAAATGACTGCGGAACTGCGCAGCTACAATGCGTCATCAGTAAGTAAATTACAATGCAGAAAACTACAGGGTGGTAATCTGCATAATATATAGATTAGCTTCAGGTTATAAGTTTCAGAAGAGAACGAGTCTTTTTCATTTGGAATCACTTAACTATCAAAATTCATATTTCATTAATCACTCCTCGAAGTCTTAATAATATGTAAATTCCCTCTTTCCTCCACTGAGGAATTGAGTGTATAGAAGGTACACCATCCACCCTCAATGTGACCCTTTAGAACTGGATCTTAGTGAGAACTTGGAACTAGAGTTGGTGGAGCTTGGCAGATGACAAGTTACGTATATGACTGCAGTGCATAGTTTGTTCGTGTTGACCGTGAACTTTAGATTAGCTATTAATGCATTACATTCTGTAAAAATTTTACGATCAAATATAAAGTTGATGAAATTTCAGCCCAAAATTAATGTTGTCGTTTATGAATGAAATTTTAATTGAACAGGTTTGTTTTCGTTCCGCTCGTCCAGAGGAGGCATAAATGGAAGCGTCTTCCTTCACTTCCTGAGCCTCGCCCTGAAGGAGGAGGGCACCTCGACCCCCCTAATGGACATCCTCATCAAGGTTATTCGTTCAAATATTGACACGAAAACTGTGCTTAGCATTCATATGAAACTTCAGTGGGCAAAAATTTGGTCAAAATGACGCACACAAGGGCAAGAAGTGGATTGCAAATTGGAATTAGTCTCACGTATTTCTGCGCGTGTACCCGAATAAGAGGCCATTCCTCACACGCCTTAAATGAACGGTGTTCACAATGGAGGAAAAAATTAATTTAGGCAAAGCCAAGATGAGGTCACTGAACTCGTATAACCGTGAATATTTTTGCAAGCAATTAAAATCACGTCTATTGAGCTAGAGATAAGTGACGTGACGATAAATATGGAGCAGCTTTGAGTAATGAGATAAAAGTTTCAGGAAAGGTAACTGTAAGCCTTGTAAATCAGTAGCGTTCAGTGGTAAATGGAAAAAAATCCTCCTATCTGAGAGACTATTATGCAACTAAAAATTCCAACGAATTATTATTTAGCGGTTATGAGGCAGCTTCTTCGAATTATTATTCATGTTTGACAGATGAATCTCAAATAAAGAACTTTCCGTATCCAAATACTTCTTGAATTCATCATTTGTTTGTTACAGGTGACCCGGCGAGTTGCGCTCGACTTCGAATCGAAGGTTGGGGCAGGCCACGTCCTGGACTGCAACAAGCAGGTGCCCCACATCTCCAGCACGCTCACCAGGAAGCTGCTCTTCACTCAACCAAGCAAGAAGTAACCTTGTCTGAGAGATTCTGAACGCTGAAGTCTTAACTAGACTTCGTTATCACTATAGTGCCCCACGCTGGTTTCTGATTACGCTCAAAGCATCAAATGAAATCCTTATAGGCAATCTAGTCCCTGTGGCCTGTACAGTAAACTAATGTCCGGGCGAGTAAAATATCAAGAGCGCAGTGTCTACTTCTTGGAAAAAAAAACAATACATAAAACTAATCAATTGAAATTCTGAAATTATTAGCAAAACCCCCTATCAGTCCGACTGAGAAATCTAGAACCATGTAAGAAGAATGTAAAACTTTGGACTGCTTTTACATCCAAATAATAATTATTATGAACGAAATGATCTTTGTCAAATAGAACGTTATGACCTTCATGAAGTTATCACCGTCATTTTTCTGCTTTATGAAGCAGAAAAAAATTTAAAACGTTACATTGAACAGCAACCATATAAGGTTCAGCAGCTTCAGTTTTCAATTCCGTGGGTTAATAAAATGGTCTATGATTCACACAAGCGAATTTTCAATTGATAAGTCGAAATTTACCGCTTTTCTTGTGTTTGAACTAGAAGGGTGTTTCAAAGTTGTTACCATAATTTGTGAGGGGATAATACAGGTGATGTTATGATGACGAAGGAAAACCCTTATCAATAAAAAAATATCAAGATAACCAAATACATTACACGCTTTAAGCTGTAAATGCTGTATTTTTCGGCTACCAGAGAGCGATAAACTGTAGATAAGAGTTGAGTGATTCGAGGCGGTGTATACACAATTTATTTCCTTCCATAAGATATGATTCATTTTCCGTTTTCCAGTAACTCTTCAACTTACTTGAACTCCTGGTGGTATTGATGAGGAATACCAGTCACGAATATAACTTTTTATTTTTCTGATTATAATCAAAGAAATAAAATTTAATATAAATTAAATGCGGAACATATTTATATTAGTAAACATTGTAACAAGTAATCGTGTAAGAACCCTTGAAATTTCTTCCATCCATAACCCATATATATATATTAGTGTTAATACTTATTATAAGTGGAAAAGCGCAGAAATAACTGATTCGTCCAAAGATTTCATTGTGATTAATATTATTATGAATAAATTTGTTCACTCAAGCATCTTTTTCTATCCGATGCCATGAAGTTCTTCTGGTTATAAGTTTGCACAGTTATTGCGCATTTAATCACTACCTTACATGACTGGTCGCTTAGGCAAATATCAACACGTATATCAGC